TCTCAACGCGATTTCAACGCGAATCTCCTCGATATCCACAATACATACAAGCAACTATAGAGAACTTAAGTTGGTCCAGACGAACCAGCACTTGTGGAATCACTACGAGGGACGCTAGTGGAAGGCGCTTAGCCGATACGATGCAAACCACATTGCTATCTACCAGCTCTAATGGCGTTCCTCGAGGAGCATGTGGAATTGTTGCTGAAGTACGGGTTCGTGAAGCAAAACAACCACAGTCGTTGGGCATCAAACGCAGTTCCTGTCCGAAAGCATGACAACAAGAATCAGTTTCGTATTACGAACAACTATATCGGAGTCAACAAGCTCACTGTTCCGATAGCGGGGACGATGCCGCATTTCTCTATTGTTCTTCAATTCGTAGCCGGTGTAAAGTATTTCGCCAAGTTTGATATGATCAAGAGTTTCTAGCAGATGGAGTTGGCCCCATCATTTTCACTTCATCAGATAATGATTATAGCTTTGGTTAGCACGCCGGGCCACTGTGTGATACACATGGTGGCGATCCATTTATTAAAGCTGCCGCGACTCTCACCCGCGAGACCTTTCTTCATGGTATTTCTTCAAGATTTCGGCGAGCGGCTGATACAATACGAGTCATTCGTCGAATGCGATCTCAGAGCTATGCAAATCGTAATCATAAGCTGTAGGTGTCACAAAAATTTACAGCCGTTTTCATTGTCCGAACAAAGTGTATCTTATCATAGGGGGCGGTAAAGATGCCAATTTATGTTCAGTAGGTTGCGATACCGAACTTCATGCGCGTGCCATAAGTGCTCCTGCATCTTACAAGATGCTTTGTCTACCGAAATCCCCACTATGTACACGCGACCCATTTTTAAGTATCATGGCTCTTGGTCTTCAAGCCACGCCATACCTAGAACGAGATCGCATCTCAGGAATACCATACAGAGCTGCACGCTGTCAAAGTCGTCAAACTTACAGAAAAGTTTGAGATAAAATTTCGAGATGTAAATAGTGTCTGCGTCTCAAGACACACGAATATGTTCTCTGTATTGAGTCTTCAATACTTCCACGTGCTGTCTACTGTTTAATCAGTGGCGTATAATACTCAATTGCACGACGATCAGAAATCTCTCGAACCATTAAACGTTTTACAAAGCCCTCGAAGCAAACGTAAGGAATTGAAAGTTCTGATCTTTAAGTTCTAAAGGGATGCGTTCATTTTTGGGCTTTTTGCCATTGAACTTCATCCCTACGACGTACAATAGAGGCCGATTCTTTTTTGTCTGCTGCGGTGCAAGTGTTTAATTGATCATACTGTTTGGGGGGTCGATCCTCGCGTCGCCTAACGAGTCCATAAGAGGACACATATAGCTGATCACGTACATGTTAAGAATTCATAGATGTATCATCTATGAGCTCTCATATTTATAGATGATGAGCTCCTCCAGGCGCTCAACATTCGGTCCTTGTGATACCAATTGCGCTATCATATCGAGACACCAAACGACAAAAGTGTTTTGAGTGAGTCTCTTGTTTTCCTAAGAACGAATAGTCGAGCAACGCGTGCGTCATTCTCCCAGAGGATAGTCTGATTTAAGATCTGCCGCCATATTGAATGCAAGTGCTAGTATATGCAATAAAGCGCCCGGGTATAATGTGCACGGGAAGCTTTGACTCAACAAGCTCACGTAAATGAGGGCCTAAAATTGTGTTTTGTACTCTTCATGTCGAAGTTGAATCAAAAGCTGCATAAAGAACTAGATATCTAGTATCGTCGTTGAATTCAAACATGAAATACATAATAAAAATTAGGCTAACCAACGCAACATGTATATTATTTCCCATCCTACATACAAGAAATCAGTGTATAACGAGAGAGTGGCGGCTGACTTGTCCCGCAATTGTATTCACTACGAAGTCCGCGTGACCCTCATCAGTACAGCTTTTTCGCGCGGTTAATGAGTGGCGCGAGCGAGTGTATGCTCAGCGCAGGACCCGACGCAAACAAGTACAATTAACTCCGTCTCTGTGTGTGCCGCACGGAAGATCTTTTCCAAAACTTCACACAGCAATCGCTAGATCGTTTGTTTGCTATAAGGTGGTACTATGTCCAGCTTTAAGAGAAAAAAAAGAATAATTTAATCTGGTGAGAATGATACGACCGAGTACATCTCCGGCAAGCACTCGAAATCCAGCGCGTCAAAGATAGAATTGAACCGACAAATGCGCAACATATTTCTTTTTGTTGCGCAACGTACTACGTTTTCTTTTGAAAAATAGTTTTGTGATAGTGTAGCTCATATTTACTTTGTCGTATTTAAGTAATGCAGAGTGTGCAACTTATTTCAAAGGCGAACTATAACAGATTACTACCATGTCGTGATTTTTGAACACTTTACAATCTTGCGCAATCGCGCACAACACAAAATACACTTCTGTGCAGCTGTATAGAGTCAGAGGTAACAAAGCAATAGAACTGATAACTATGTAAACAGAGGGAGCAGTGAGAAACGTGTGGTACTAGCTTCACGTCTTTTTTATCGTGGCACATTGGGAAACTGTCAGGCATAAAATCAAAGAAGAAACATAAGCCAAGTCTCTCGAGGAATATCCGGTTTTGCTCCTGAACAAATGGTTGAACACACCCTGTGTGCGTTGTTTATACGTGCACGTTAAGTCTTAGCCCTCTCAGTTCAAATATACGGCTATCGCATTGCGCTTGAATTCAAGTGTTGCCAATCCTACGACCGATAGGTATCATACTACATACTTTGTTGAGGGCTGACAAACGGCTGTTCGATTATTGTCTGCCGGGACAGAAGCACTCAAGCAGTAGGTCCATGTCTATCATTGTTCCAGAGAACGAGGGGTGGCAGTAATCGTCACCATTATCAAAGCTGGGATCAATCGCCTGCAAGGCCTCCGATTACAATGATATCGCCCCAGTGAGAATGATACTAGGAGCGCATATAAGAAGGAGCTGTTTACATCAGTCTCTCACACGCCTGTGCGACGATGGAGCAATCCCCAAAGTGCAGAAAAGAAGAACATGTTAAGGGTCTGAAGGATAGCTCTCAATGGAATTTAATTGCAGCTGGGCTGTCGTAGCTTTTTGCTTATAGGAAGCTTACTATGGTCACCGACCTTACGTTCTATACTAGAACCAGTACGAGTTCAGCGGATCGCAATCCGCTACCTCCACGAGTACCTTATACCTTAACCAAGGCGAATACACTCTTCTGTTCAAAATTGAAACTGGATTTTATGGTTTTATTTGCGGCAGAGGCGCCTAAATTTAGGTAGCAAACCTATTTAATATGCATAACTACTGTCAGTCCTGCCTCGTAGTGGCTTCTTGTTATGGAGTACACCGACTTGTTTAATCCACTTTATTTTACGGTCACACCATCTTGTGTGACCCACCCTTTCATACATGGATACGTGTAATCCCGTTACACTCTGGGTACGTGTAACCCCGTTACATAAATATAAACCACCTCGGAGCTTCTACCGGTTTTACTCATATAATTTGGGTGTATAATGAAATCAATGGCGTTCTGAGGTTGAACGTCCGCTTAAATTTATGCAAGATCTTGGGTGTACGGAGCTTGAGCTTCAAAAAGCTTGAGCTTCAACTTCGTGGAAGTTCGCACGTAATAGTGACTAACTTACACCAACCACTTAAGAAGACAAACGCACGTTAATTACGTCACCGGCACAAATTTTTAAGAAGAAATTAAAATTCTGTACCGCATAATATGTTTGTGACTGCACACAAGACGTCACACATGCATGAGGAAACATCACACTGTACCCCCCTTTTGTAAATTTCAACGGTGGATACATAAAGTACATAGATAAACATACATGTGATGGCTAAGTAAAGCCCATGACACACCCTCTCTCTGAAGCCAAACGTATTTTGGTACTTTTGCAGACCTTTCAAGAGCTGTTCACTTCCCAATCAAATATTAAGTGATCAAATAAACAAGCAAACCTCGCGGAGAATTCTTTGCCTTTGCGGCAACTAACATTTTTATAACTCTTTGACAGAATAAGTGAAAGCAGATGCGCGAGGCGATCAGTATTACCAGCATATCCATGAAGGGTAGACTGAAGCGCTTTGTAGAAGTTGCGATGAGCAACTACTTCGACGTGCTCTAGAATCTCGAGCTGCACTTTGACTGCTGCTCGGCCGCTCTCGATAAGAACACTTCCAGTTCGGACCTTTGCAAGGTGAACGATTATCCAACCCATCCCAGATCAGCTGGACTCTTGATGGAAGATTGCTTGCCCTGAGAACGAGAACAAGTTGAAGTGTCTGCTCGCCGAGTCGGCGCTGGGCATCATAGTGTTGCTAGAGGCAACATTAAAAAAGATTTCCGTAGCTGCGGACAACGTCGGAAACATCAGATGCTAGGACCTGACGAAGTTTTCATGTGTGCGAGTCAAATGGGTAGCCGCACCACTGGAACCTGTAGAAGCGTTGATGGCTCAGCTGCATCTTTTTATGATGACAAAAAAGATCCTTCGTCGTGATTGACGATCGTCTCAACAACCCAAATACAGTCACCACGAGAGTCTGAAAGCGGAGGTGTGGTTGAACTTCAAACGTTTTGACGACTCTTGAAGTGGAAGAGCGCTCATTGCGGGCGAATTGAGGCATTGCACCAGCGTTGTTCGACGTTTTAAGATTGATGCGAGAGCTTTTTAAATCTTGTTGCAAAGCGGAACTCAAAACTCGACGTTCTGGCGGATGGTTCCGCTGGATCCTCTGCTTTTAAATCCGTTCTGGACTTTGGTTTTCTCAGGTTCTGATGAACTTATTCGACTGCGGAAGGACAAAAAGTCTTGTGAGCTGGCTTACGACTACCTATCACTCTCTGCTAAGGGGGGAGGCTCTGCTCTTGAGGAACTATGTCGTAAGTTATCATAAAGCGTTGATTTCGTAAAGGAGCAATCCTTTGATGTCCTTCAAAGCTCGTACGCCGAGAAAAAAATCATTTTTCTTGGTTGCTCTTCGTGGTCAAGTGAAGGAATTTCATCATCAGCTCGATCATCATCCATGGTACAGTTAGATTGGCAGGCCCACTCGACAGACACGACTCTATCCTACTTACATAAATACGTAGAATGTTGGCGCATGCGTGTAGGGATGGCCAGGGAATAAGCGCCACCATTGCATTTTAACACCTTGAATCCTGGCAAAAGCATTCTGCTCTTCAAGCTGAACACCGCAAGATCAAGCATTTTGTCGTGCTACGTAGTACAATATCATTGACTTTATCGCTTTCTTGCTATTCTGCTCTTGTATGTTTGTTTTTTCTGCCAAACCTGAGCTCATGCAATTGCATTTCGAGCAAACCCTGAAACCCGGTTTTTTGCTCCACAAAATTGTAATCGACGTGATGTTCCTCATGTTCTGTCATGATGCCTAGAAGTCTCATTGAATTTTTACTCTTACAGCGTTCAGGTCTGACTGTGGCTTCGGTGCCGTAGTCCCTCTCCCGGTTGACGTAAAAGCCTTACCCGTTATGAAAGAAGGTATTGTACGATGAACACCCTATTGACGAAAACTGGCGAATGACCTGTCGAGACATGCGTGAATTTGTTCAACACAACCTCTGCGATTGTAAGAAAATTCACTTCACTCTTTAAATGGCGTAGCGAAACTACACAGTACGTTCTCCAGGATCCGCTCCACACATTCTGTTTGACTGTCCGCTGCAGGGTGTGCCGCTATTGACATGGAAAATTTTTTGCCCAGTAGGTCAAACAGTGCACGTCTAAACTTCGAAGCAAAACGGTTGTCATGATTAGACACAATCGTCAAAAAGGCCATGTAGCCGGAAAACCACGTTTACAAGAACCTTACCTGCTTTCTCTGCAGAGATCTTATCCGAATCAAATGCAAGATAAATCATTTTGCTGAATCGGTAGACTAAGACAAGGTTACCACTGCGCCCATGTGTGTCACGCGAAAGTCCGAATATAAAGTCCATACTTTCAGACTTTCAGCTATCAGATAACTAAGTGGAACCCGTTTTTATCCTCTGGCAAATCTTGCAAGTTCTTACATACTTGCACATCCATTTATACACGTGTGGCCAATAGTAATCCCGGAATTGACTGAGAATCATTTTGTCACGACCGAGATGGACTCTTGAAGGTACTATTATAAGACGCTGACGCGAACCTTCGTAATAGGAACAACAACTCATGATGTATCCGGTGTCTGACTGCATAGTACAAATATCCATTTTGCACTTCAAAACGATGAACACATGATCTTGTGCAAGACGAAAAACCTTGCATTGCTTTGTCAGAAGGGCCCTTGAAGTAGTCCCGACATTCTTGTCAGACTTGCACCCTTCGACACTTCTTCGAGCACTGTAGTCGTAGCTAGTGCGCTAATCGTCTAGTCTTCTCCACGTAATAGACATGACTCGTGAATGTTAGAGATCCCAGATTTGGATCAACGTCCAGACAT